CATTTATCCAACTAAAACAGTTGTTTCTGATGCCTAAAGTCATTGCATGCAATTAGCTTTGAGGGCGGTATTTTATTTTGTGAATCAGAGTTGTAAAAGCCATCTGAAATATTCATGCAGAATTGTCTGAGAAGCAGTTTCTGTTTTATTTACTGCACAGTAGAACAGCCACAGTGGATTAGCTCTACAATACCCGTAACAAAAGCACAACAGCTGATGCATGTGATGTTAGGAGGTGACAAAACAGTTAAAGTATGCTGCTGGCTACAGGCAAGCAGTCAGCAGATGCAGACAAAAGGGTTTGTGACAAGAATAACTCTCTCTCCAAGGCGAGCAGTCAAGAGTATCCAAAATACCAATACCCTTTTCTCCTTGACATTGTCTTCTTACAGTCAGCATTTTATTGCCCTTTTATAGTAAAAAAACAAAACACAATTCTCTGGAATATCAGTTTTAACTTGACTTCCACAATTCTGTGATCTTTGCATCTGTATTGCTTTTTCTATCATCTATATTTACCACTTGAGCAAGAATTTTTGAAAGTTTAAAAGACTAACTGTAAAGAAGCTCACCCTTAATAGGATTAACGACATGAAATACACATACAAATCTTTGAGCAGACTGGTGACTTGTTTTGTCATTTGGTTTTGGTGCTTTTCCCCTTTTCTATTAAGAGATAATTAAGCATCTTACTTTGCTAATAAAGAAATAAGGCTTGGGTAGAAATTAAAGGTTTGCTTGACAATAGGGGAGATTTAGGTGCTGGAAAGGGACTGTGAATGAGCTGATGTTTATTTCAGAAGTGTGAAAAATCAGCTTATATATCTCCAGAAAAAAAAAAGAGAGAGAGAGGCTGTCTTCTTTCTAACCTTTGTAATTCCCCTTCTATTCTCTGTGACATTCATTCAGCTGCCAAGCATGTTTGGCAAGGCTTGAGCCAGTGAGCGCACTTCCAGTGACCGCTAACCTTGGTATGTCCTGACACTTATGATGAGTATCTGCAGGACACAGAAGGCAGGCAGGCTGCTATGTCAGGCTTTTATTATGTACTGCAGAGGCTGGGGACAGTCAGTTTAATAAAACAAATCATCCTTGAAGGTAAAGCAACTGGGAAGAGGAGGAGGAGGAGGGCTCGGCGAGGGGAGGACATGAGGGGAATGGGAGGGAAGGGAGAAAAAGTCTTTGCTGCATAACCCAAAAAATAAATGAATTAACTAATAAAAGCCACAAGATACAAGACAAGCCAATAATGAGAAAAACAGTGAAGGACCACTAGCCGACCACCAACTTGAGACACAAGGCTACTTCTAGTGTGCCCTCCTTCCCAACGGTGATTTTTTAAGTCCATATATGCCATCAGAAAGGGAAGCCTGATCCTCTTTGTTGGCTTAAAATCAGTGTTGCTTCAGGGATTTTCCCCAAGCAACGCTGACTTACACCCGCTGAGGATCTACCCTCATCTTCCCAATCACCGCTGCCTTTTTGGTCATCTTTTCCTTGTAAAGAAGTCCAACAAGTATTTTTAAAGCATATCGCTTTCTGCAACTGTGTATGCTCCTGTATGAAAGAAGTGTGAGTTAGGTATGACCTGGCTCCCACTTTTGAGCCATTGGAAGTATACTTTTACTCACATAGAAATAGTTTGTGCTGAGTATTTTTAACAAAGCACTCCCCCACAGTGCTTATCCAAATGGTTTGGCATGGTAGTTGCACATGCAAACCCAGGAGTGAAATAGTTCAGGTTCGTTGTTCAAGCCAAGGAAAATGCCAATAGTTAAAACAGCATAAATAGACAAGAGCAGATGAGCACTTTAATTCCCTCCCAGTTTTCATAGATGAAGGGGATGTGTTAATGTGGCTAAGGCTTGAGAAGGGGCACTGTGGTGGTTATTGGACTGTGTTAGGAGATATGGGACCCATGCGTACCAGGTGTAAATCAACATAACTGCACTGAGGCTGGTAGAGCCCTGCTGATTTACCCTAGCCCAAAGTTTGGCCTGTGACTTTTTCCTTGGCAGCGAAGCTAAGTGACATTGACAAAGCACATGGCAAAGTATGATTTCTTTCTAAATCAGTTTGATGTGGAGGCTTCAGCCTGAAACCCACCTAGCCTCCCCCTGAGCAGACCTCATTGTCTTTCCTCCCGGTGAATGTAGTGTGATTCTTTGATTGACTGCTGCCACCTGATGCTAAGAAAATGCCCTGGGTTCATACTAGGCATTGTTGGTTCTATTAAAAGCAACGGAGATGGAGTTTATTTGTCACTGAAGCATTTTCTGCAGATGTTCCTACTTCAGAGATGTTCAGTCAGTTAGGTGTAAAGATGCGCCGAATAGGTTGCCATCACTTAGGGTCAGGGAAATGCTGCCCCCAGACACATAATTAACATGGCTGACTGATTATTGCCCAGTGAAAAATCTAACTACCCATCCATTTAAATATTTTTTTTCAGGCTCTGGACTTCACTAGTATTTTCTTTATTAAAAAAAAAAACCAAACCAGCAACACTTTGTGGTTACTCTTCCTAGAAAGGAAAAATGTTGGCTGACTTACTATCCTGTGGGGATTAATCACAGTGCTATTCACATTACAACATGCAAAGTAACGTGTGTAATCCAGTCTGACATGAAAAATTGCTAATAACATCCCAAAAGGAAAGAGCTATGAATGGCTCTAATGCCTGCGGAGTAGGGGAGATCTTTGGGAACTCGGTATTACGAGGAGGTTTCTTCAAAGCCCCTGTGGGGCTTTGTTCACTATTATGTTTGTGGGCTGCCCTCTGTAACCTGTTGTACCAGGTTCAAAGGGGCCCAGCCCTGCAGATGTGACTCAGGTACAGTGAAGTTGGAGTGTAAAAGCTAATTCCTAGCCTAAAAGAAAAGCCAGTGTGTCTTTACGGGGGTGGGAGGGCTGGAAGCCAGTGGCTCTGGGGTTTCCCACTGCCTACTCCATGAAAAAAGCAGCATCCCCTACCTGGAAAACTTTCATATGCACAGGTAGAATGGCAAAAGCTCAACTTAAAACCCAGGTCGTCACTTCCATGCTTAAAGTTGTCACGAGTGTAACCATGTAGGGAGAGGTAGGACTTTTTGCATTTGAACTTTATGCTCCTTATGTAGGTGCTTCTAATTGCCTCCCTCCCATCTCCGGTGGCTTGGAAGGGAAGAAAGGCATCTAATGTTGGTCCTCTGGAGTGGACACCACAATTGAAAGGTGTGAACTCTTTTTCCCAAGCACAAAGGCAAAAACCAAGTTTTTGCCCTTGTGAGCTAACATCAGTGTGCACACCAAAATGCTGGTTATCTACTACATTTCTTGCTTGCTAGTCTCATTGCAGTCAACAACTCCTTCCCCTTGGTTAGTGCCCAGCAATACCAAGGGTGGTGAACAGCACAGGAGCAGTTGTTTGAACTGCCTGAACCAAAAAGTGTGTCATTTTGTATACCAATGCAAGAATGAGACAAGCACAGTATCTTTTGTAGGTGTATTACCAAGTACCCAAACAACAGAGTGGTTATGTGAAGTTTCAAGTTATTTCTTTGAGCTGGAATAAGTGAAACATAATAGTTACTTTCTTCCCTCATAATTGTTGCTGGAATAGGACATCTTTAAAAATGTTTCTTTCTGTGCGGGCCGTTGAATTAAAAATTTCCACAGAAGGCAGCCTGTCTTCTGCGGGCTGCGGGGCTTCTGGAAGCAGAGTTTGTCAGCTGGTGTCAGGGGGAGCACATTTCCAGACAAGTCTTCTGAAAGTGGCTTCAAAAGGGAGAAGAATAAAAGCCTGAAGTAGCGGATAGCATCCTGGCCCTGATCTGGCAATGTGACATGCATTCAGTAAATGAGTGAGATCTGCCTGCTGTCTGTTGGCCACAGGAATGGTTGAAGTGGCCACTAGTGCAGGTCGGAGAGCTCTTGCCGGGGTGGGCAAAGAATAGCAGTGAGGGAATACTTGCTATTATAAGCATGCTGGCTACTGACCGGCCGTGTATTAGCAATTCTAGAGCTGTGAAGCCATATTTCCATAATAAAAAATTGAAAATCATACCTTTATGGAGATGACCTCAACCTTGCAACTGACCTACGGTTCATTATAGCGATTGCTTTTGAATCATTTAAGGCAGCGGGTAAGATGGGGGTGCTGGTGCCTGAGACAACTACTTAGGATGAACCAGCAAAGTTTGGAGGTAACTGGTTTTTTTAACATTCAGCCATTGTTCAGGGGTTTCTGAGAGTGGCATGCACCTGCTAACTGGCCGTTTGGCTTACCCGTAAAGTGACAGTGACATTTAGAAAACCCAGATGAGTTCAATGCATCCCAGCTCAGTAGCCACTTGGAGCACAAGGCACCCATTGAAGAAGCTGGGGTCTTCTTTGTAGGCTTCCGAAAAAGAAGGCAAAACCATCATGTCTCCCGAGAAAGCCGTCTTATGGGGGTCTCGAGCACAGCAGCCACAGAAGCAAGCCATTAGCTGAAGGCTTGCTTGCTTGTTTTCAAACTACGAACACCATTCAGAGATACCCTGTTTCTTTGATAGCTTTCAGCCCTGGTTGTGACCAAAGTTAAGTGCAGAGGTACAGAGGGCTTTCTATGTGTGCATAACTTTCGTATTAGTTCCCACATGGAGAGAAGAACATAGCCATAAATGCACGGGTAAAATATCAAGCAGAGATTTGTCTCCTTAAAGACAATTGTGTTTGTTTCCCCTCCTGCTAATTATATCCTATAAATCCCCCACTCTCCAAACTCAGACAGTAACATTTTGTTACCTACATTCTGTCAGTAGACTTCACAAAGATCTCTAACACATGTTATAAAAGTTATTGCTATAGTACTATATATAACAGCTTTGCATAAGAGAATAGAAGGCTGCCGCATTTAGAAAATGCAGGTGCTATGTAAGCCCCTTTCTGAAAGAAAGAACTTAGCTCAGTTTCCTTTGAAGAACCAGAGACTTGAAATTGAAAACTGTATTAATGCCATTGTCTCCTTGTATCAGCAGGTTCCAGAGAGATTCCTGGAAGTGGCTCAGATCACGTTACGGGAGTTTTTCAATGCCATTATCGCAGGCAAAGATGTTGATCCTTCCTGGAAGAAGGCCATATACAAGGTCATCTGTAAGCTGGACAGTGAGGTCCCCGAGATTTTCAAATCCCCCAACTGCCTACAAGAGCTTCTTCATGAGTAGAGAGTTCAGCAGCTATTTATGAATGTATGAAAGTAGCAGTCCCCTTCTGATGCCCAAGTCATGTGTGTCTCTATTTTAATTTCATATATATGTGTATTGCATACATATATATGTATATGAAATTAGACTGCGATCCCTCCTGGATTTAAGTTTTCGTTCAGTTCCAAGGGGATGGTTATTTTACTTCAGCCTTTGGTTTACTTTTGCCCGAGACCCTTAAAATTTGGAGAATCAACGGGGTTAATTTTCAGGGAGAAGAGTTTGGAAGCGTGTAAAAGCCTGTCTTAGCAAGTTAGGGCATTATGTTTAAAAATGCTTTGTCAGATTTATTGCTTGCTGCGAAGTGGCATTTTGTCTTAGTGAGACTAATGTCATGGCACAATACTACAGACAATGAAGTTTATATTATGTTTATACTGCTAAAGGTCTGAACTCTGTGGAGTCACTTCATAAGCTTCAAGCTTTTTTTTTCATTATTTTATATACTTTTTAACCAATAACTAGATTTTGTTTCGTATTTCAAAAAACTACAACATCTATTTTAGGTACTCACTCCAAGAAGTGATACCCCAAAAAAAGCAAACCCTATTCTTCATGCTTTCCTCACAGAAATTATAAATACCCTGCACCAGTAATCAACGTGCCAGGTTGTTGTTTCTCTAAATTGCAGCAAGGGATGTTTGCACAAATTAAATACCGTTCTTGCAGGGTGAGGCCAGTAATTCATGCACAATATTGTATCAGCCACACTAATTTTGGATTATGGTCAGCTTATTAAAGCGGAAGCATTTCACTCTCCATAGAGTAAAAATGAAACCTTCAGCGTCCTATATTGCCATGTCTCGGTCTTACTTCAAGTGGTGTTAATCCCTAAATTTATTCTTTTTCTAGTCCATTCTGCCCCCAAAAATCCCCTTTCCAGTATACAAAGTTTTCTGTCCGCATTCGACATCTGTCCTGAAAAGCACTTTTTGAATGATCTTAGATATAGTAGAAGAAAGCATCTTCACCTCTCAGTGCTGAGGCAAAGGAAAAAAAAAAAAAAAAAAAAAGACTTGTTTGTAGCTGTAAAATGTAATTAGTCTTTTCCTAATCAGGAGAATAAAAAATTACATTTTCATAAAAATCTAATCAAGCATATACAAAAATCGCAGTGTCCTCCTGGCTATGCAGGGTTCAGATAGCCAAACTGGATTTTTAAAATTACAGTAAGTGCAGCTTAAAAAAAAATTAAAAAATCTGTTTGAACAATGCGCTGCACTTCTCTTCTGAAGCTGGAGCTAGTCTTGACCAAAATCTGAGCTACAGTGTAAAGTCCATGTGGATCTGGGTTCGCCTGAATGCTATACCATGATATGTCAGCAGACGGAAAGAAAGCTAGCTGCTAGTTCTTGTGCTTTCTTCAGTGGCTCTACTTTTCTCATGTTTTCAGAAAGGTATCATCTCCAGGAGTCTGGGGGAAGGTTGAATATGCTATGGCACTCTGTATTTGTCATTTTCTCTGTCGTCTTTTGTACGGATGCAGTAAGAATTTATTGTTATCATCAATAGTATTTTCCCCTACATAATTCAATCTGAATCTAGAGGAAGTTCCTAATTAGCTGTGTATTATATTTGGACCACTGAGGATACTGGTATCTTGTTTCTTTATTTTAAAATTGCATTTTGACTTTGGAGAGTGAAAGTTTACCCATGTGACTAAAGAGCTGACCTGATCATTGCAATTTCACTTCATTTACAAATACTGCTGATAGACAGAAATGTATGAAAGCAATTATTGTTAGCAGAAAGCCTTAAAAAGCTGCTGACTTCAAATTAAACAGCACAATCCTACGATTCCCTGTCATTCTTTTCAAGCACTGGCAGTATCTGTGGAGTATAGGCAATGCAGACAATAGCATGGGATGAAGTGCCAACATTTTCACTATGCATTAAAAGCAAAACAAATCTTTTTGATCTTAGACTCCCTGAGAGTACCTAATACTGTATGTATCCTTACAGTAGACAGAATGTGTCTTTTTCTTTCTTTTCTTTTCTTCCATTTTCTTTTGTTTTCTTGTGGTTTCGGTTTTGGGTTGGTTTTTTTGTTTTGGTTTTTTTTTTGGTGCATGATTTGGTAAACATTACACTTCATAAAGATGTAACTGCAACGAATTCTGAGTAAGAAAGGATGAAAATTGTGTTCATGCACTTTTTTGATTTATGGGAAGAAGTGGCATAAAATGCTCAAGTTTTAATACAGTAAATTCATCATTGGCATACCATAACATATAAAGTACAACATTGCATTGTCACCTTGGACGTAAGAAAGCAAAGCCATACTTTAGTCATACTATGTGGACATACTACTTAGCTACCATCTCAATCTGTGATTTTACCGTTACTTTTATTATGTTTATTATTATTATTACTA